AGTTAATCTAATAATATAACAACAAAAGATTAACACCCTTTGCATGGAAGTTGTAACCAATGCAATCAAAACTCTTTCGTGCAACTTCGTGGGTATAAATAGTCAGATCTCGTTGGTAAAATAGCAGTTATGGGAAGGAGCCGTTCTTCTGGCGACCGCCTTTCGTAATTCCAGAATGAGCGAAAAACACGCTAAATTTAGTTTAGCATTGGCAACTGCTTTAAATGCCAGAAACACATAAACTTACTTCGGGTTTTTATTACCGATTCTGAACCGTCCTAGACTCTGTGATGCGTATGCGCAGAAGGAAATATGAAGACATTATTTCATTTGCGCATGCGCTGCAGAGTTCTTGGACGGTTCAGAATCGGTAATAACAAGAACACGAACAAAGCTATAACCTAACATTTTCAGATTGTTTACAAATTTATTTTAGCAAATTTTCCTCTATTATGCATAGAATTGGTTAAAAAAGTAACAGAAAATAGCAAAAACATTATTGATTATTGAATACCTAACAAAATATGTGCTAGAAAACCTTAAAAATATGAGAAATTAAGAAAAATTCGATATTGAAATTATTTTCCGTTTTTCTGAAAAACGGTAAGAGACCGCCAAGAAAAAAGTTCAGATTCGTAATATACGACTTCAAAATAGGGTGTATACCAATTTTGGTGAAAATCGGACGATTTTCAGTTTTCCCAATAATTACCAAAAATGTCAATTTTTTATTCATTTTTACCTTGCCCCCCCCCTAAATTTCATTCTTCCGGCGCCCATGCCCACAATAGTTTATAATACGTAAGTACTCTTTATTTTTATGAAGAAAAATAAAGCCATATCTGCTGGCGGAACGAATGATATGTTACTAATGATTTTATTTTGTGGGGAAAATTATTTCTTGGCGTTAAGAGCTCATGCTCAAAGATATCCAAATAGGAATATTCCTGATAAGCTTGCATTTGAAAAACTACTTGTCCTATTTCCTATTTTGCAGAGTTGGTAATGTAGTTTATAAAAAAACATGTTAGGCAGAAACCTATTGTTGGAAGTGAAGAAATTGAATTTGCCGTAATTGGCTCTTTTATAAAAAATCAATGTATCTACAAGTCATCGTAAAATAAAACAAAGAACTACTTCTTCATTTTTCTTGATAGAATAATAAATACATATTAATAAATATTACACAGGGGAACAGTGATTCTGCGGCGCGGGTTCTAAGAGTCGATTTTGAGTAGTTGTGGTGTCCCAAATACGAGGAGTATCGTAAATAATCTTAATTGATTCTAGTTTGTGAGATAAAAAACTTTCATATAAATTAAAACAAAAATAAAATGAAAATTATTTATATTGAATAGCTATAATTTCAATGCCACCAGCTATTATAGTATGTTATATTAAACTAAAACTAAGCTAATGAAACTAAAATATTAAAAAAAAAAGTTAGGAGAAACGTTTGGTATATGACCGTCTCTTGTATCTTCGTTCTGGGCAATCTTTTTGTAAGGTCCAACAGTAATCCGCCATCATGTGGCGATCCCACCGGCCTTGGTATCTTTCTTCCATTACTTTTATGTCCTGATGGAACCGCTCCCCTTGTTCTTCTCTGTAATCGCCCAAGTTATCCGGGAATCGATCCAAATGGCTATGCAAGAAATGAATTTTTATACTCATATTAGCTCCTAGTTTTTCAAAATTTTTTAGCATCTGGGCGACAATTTCGCAATATTCTGCTGCCTTGTGATTTCCTAAAAAGTTTTTCACAACGGATACAAAGCTCTTCCATGCTTCTGCTTCCACCTCACTCATGTGATTTAAAAAGTTCTTGTCATTTATAAGAGTGCGGATCTGCGGGCCATCAAAGATACCTGCGTTTAATTTCTCCATGCTAAGGCTGGAAAATGTCTGACAAATATATTTAAAACTATCACCATTTTTATCCAGAGCTTTAACGAACTGTTTCATGAGCCCAAGTTTAAGATGAAGTGGCGGAAGAATTATTTTTTCCCGGCTTATTAGGGGTTCATGAATAATATTGGCATTCCCAACAGTCATATTTTCTCTCAACGGCCAATCCTTTCTAGTCCAGTGCTCTCTTTTTGCGCGACTGTCCCATAAACAGAGAAAACAGGGGTATTTAGTGTACCCACCTTGTTGGCCTAATAGGAAGTTCACCATTTTTAAATCTACGCATACAGACCACTGATTTGGTATTCCTCTTTAAGTTTAGTTGAGTGACCTATCGGGATTGAAGCTAATTTATTTCCATTATGCAGTAAAACACATTTTAAACTGCGTTTAGAACTGTCTATAAAAAGCCTCCAATCTTCTGGTCGGTATTTGGAAAGACCCATTAAATGTAGAAGTCCGGAAACATCGTTACAATATACCAAATTATTTTCCTCGGCAAAATACGGAAGAATGATTTCCTCTCGTTCGATAAGATGTTATGTTTACCTCAGGCTGTAGGCACTGTTTTTCTTTAAGTCTTGATGCAAGAAGCTCCGCTGATTTCTTAGACAAATTTAAATCTCGAATCAAGTCATTTAACTCTCCTTGTGAAAAACCCCTCACTGTTGCAGTTGCACTACAATATTCAAATTCACTGTCGCTGTCACTTTGAAGGTCTATCATTTCGACATCATCACAGGTAAGGTTCGAGAAGGTTCTAAATATCGGCACTGGCAACGAGTAACTATGCAACACTGGCGATTTAGCCGACTGTATATTTACCATACCTTTTATATTCACGGCACAAAAGTAACAATCATCAACATGGTTTGATGGCTCGCACCACGTCATCGGTACACCAAATGGAAGTCCTTTGCGTCCTCCTTGGGTCCAGTACCGAAGTGACTCTACACAAGATTTACAAACTTTATGAGGCACCCACCATTTATCCTGCTGTCCAAGATGCTTGCCAAAATATGTTTGGTATGCTTGTTTTACAAAACCGTTAATGTTTCTTTGTTGTTTTTCTTGACAGCATTTTCCACATATGTAGCAAAATTTGTTGGGATGGTTCACACAACACTTGCGTGAAGAATTCATTATTGTTTTTAAATATAACAGCAACTTAAACGACTTAATGAACAAACTGATATAGTAGCAATTAAAACTAACTTTCTTTTATAAAATTCAGACGGTGACAAAAAAGCACTTGATATCTATCAAAATAATTTTAAACAGACGAAATGAAATGTCAGTGTCATAAAAAGATTTAAGCCCTCGATTTTGTTTCATGGCCCGCTTAGATGCGATAAGTAATTCGCAGCATAGGCATTTTAACTTTCTGTTGCATAGAATAAAATGCGTTAACGCTAACAGCAAATGAAAGTAGAGCCAATTTAAACAAAAAAGTTATATAGTTAGAACTTATTGTGTTTAATGTCACTAAATTTACTACAAAAACTAATGCCGCAGAAAAAAGTTTTCTTTTTGTTCCCCAGTGTTATTTGTTAAACTATTGTAGGTAAATTAAATAAAAGTAAACTGATATAAATTTAAATAAAGTCTATAAACTAATTTCGATTTTGAAAATAGCTATTATTTGTCACGAGAAACTTGCCCTGACGACACTAGCCCTCCTGGTTGCCATTTTAAAGAAAAATCGCTCTTTATTCAAAATCTGAGCTAGATAGGTATAGGAAACCCTAATACAGTTTGAAAGAGCATTTGAATCTGCTTCGATTTGTTTTAAAAAATACTGGGTGTCGTATTTGAAATAACGAAGATTTTATGTAAAATAAACATTTAAAATACACCAGCAATTTTTGGTACACCTGTTATAAATTTATGGAAGCAATAACATTTTTTAGTAAAGTTTATTTCTTTACCTTTAAACTCAGCACAAGAATTAATTCTGAAACGTAATGTACAGGGTATTAATAATAAATTCTTTTGTAGCATAAATACTTAAATATCTCAAAAACCAAAGATTTTAAACATATTTAACCCTATATTTAACCCTTATAATAAATGCCTTTTTTTGTCCCAAGAATCCAAAAATGATATAAAATACCGGGTGTTCCATAAGAAAAAAATATAACTTTGGTATGGATCTTAGTTCTGAGACACCCAGTATATTTCAAAATAATTTTAAATTGTGCCACATTGCCTCCCCACATATACCCATAAAATATTTTGTTTCTACATATTTCCGTTTTCGTATAATCAACCGAGGCGAATGAGGTGCGCTACCCTGTATATTTATTAAGAATCCAAATATCTTGAGTACGGTTGTTCGTAGCGATTTTTACCAAGAGATAATTTTTACGTAAAATCAGGCGCAAATATATATTTTTTCACTCAGTAGTGTAATATAGGAACGGACGAAAAGTTATTACTCTTCAAAATAGTAAAGAACGTGTATGTGGCGCCCCCTACAAGTAGGAATCATATTGACATCGAAATCAAATTTCTCATGTTAAAAAACCCCTGATATCAATTTTCATCCAAATATCTACATTAGTTCAAAAATTATTTCAAAAAAATCGAAATAAAAATGAAACTTCTACACCCTGTATCTCCGAAACGAAGCATTTCAGGACATAAGTTTATACGAACTTTTTTACTTATTTTAAGTTTACTTAAGTTTCCGCAATACAGTTCGGACCACCCTGTATATTTCTTTAATTTATTAGTATATTAATTTATGACCATTTGTAACTATGCATTTACATTCAGTGATGTCATAAGCTTATCATAATAAAAAAACGCAGTAATTATGAGAGAGGATCGACGTTAATAACATTAAAATTATAATTCCTAACGTTCTTTGCTTACCTACAATTGTTAATGGGGGCCAAGTGTAAAGAATATTTAATTATGGGCACTAGACCGTTCCAAAATATTATACCTAAGCGCAAGGTCATCATTGATCTTTACGCTACAAAGGATACCATCTAGTCAAACAATAGATTTCTGAAATATATTCATTATTTCAACGCATTTTCTTTAGCCGGCCTATTCAGTCATTAATACAATAGTCAAAACATAGTTACCCCCCTTATGGCTTTGATATAAAAGATTTTTTCGTAAGATTTTTTTAGCAGTTTCCGCGATTCAGGTAATTAGTTCTCAAAAATGAAGTTCTTTCAACAATGTGTGAGTACATTTTTGTGTTTAGTTCAGTGCTGAAATGTGTCAAATAATCAACAACGAATTGATATCAACATTTATTTTTCCACTGGAAAGGATATTTTAAGTTTCCGTAACAATTTATATGAAATTCATCTATTACAAATGGAATAAAATGGTGTATTAAATGTTGTAAAATAATGCTCTGAAAATATGCGGAATTTATAAAAAAATCTTATTGTTGATGCCTTGCCATAATTTTAATACATATTCTTTAAATTTTAATTAACAATGTATTAATCGAGGTATTAATAATTATTTTATTGTACCGGGTGGCTCATTCGTGCGTAGAAGTCCAATATCGTCGTTGACAAAGGTACAAAAAAAATATACACGGTGTTGAATTTAAAAAAAGAAATATAAAAGAGATACAGTATTATAAATATTACAATGTTTTCCAGGGATAAAAATATCGTGTTTAAGATAATGTGAGTTTTCCTTCACGGATTTATTCTGTTATCGTTGGTGTTTAAGAAAATATAGGTAAGGGCATTCATAATGTTGAATTCACTTCGCGTTTTTACCATTTTTTATACCAATGATCCTTTTACCAGAAAGAAATATGACAACACCGCATCTTCCTTTAAAATAGTGTAGTATATACAGAATTTTATGCTGAGTTCAATTCTGTACAGAAAAATCGGGGTTACAATTTAAAAAAACTTACAACTTCATCATTACTTTTTTTGGGGATACCCCGTATACAACAAAATATTTTTAGGATGCAACATTTATATGAAACTGTTTTTCATAATCTCCTTCAACGGCGACGATATTCCCCACTAATGAACCACCCTGTAGGTATATACATGTAAACATATTAATAAGGCTAGTATTATACTATCAAATGTCTTTATCAAAGATTTTATTTTATCAATGAATTTGACATGTGTGATGTTATAAAATATTGTATATAGAGTGGCGAACGTCATTCGGCTCGGTTGATTACACGAAAACGGAAAAATGTAAAAAGAAAATATTTTATGGGTATAAAATTAAAAATATGGTATGTGCTCGGGTATGTGGGAAGGCAATGTGGATAATTTAAAATTATTTTGAAATGTACATTTTTTTTGTTTTTCTTATGGAACACCCGGTATTTTATTTCATATTTGGATCCTTGGATACAAAAAAGGCATTTATTATAAGGGTTAAATATGTTTACAAGCTTTGATTTTTTAAGATATTTAAACATGCATGCTATAATAAAAAATATTTGCAACACCCTGTACAGGGTGGGTCAAATTCGACGCTTTTAAATGGAAACACCCTTTTCTATAGGAGATAGACGAAAACTAATATCGGTGTCTGGAGCTCAATTTTCATCAAAAACATTATGGTGAAAACCGCACATCAATATCTGTTACCGTTTCGGAGTTACAGGGTGTTTTTCAATTATGAGCATTTTTAACAAATCGTTGGAACTTTTTTGCTATAGAAAATTTTGTATTTCTATGAAAACATTTTCAACGCACCTTTTTACGTAGAATTTAATGGTATAAGTATAATTTTTTTAAAATTAATAATTTAAGAGTTATCAACAGAAAAATTGATTTTTTATTTGGGACACCCTCTATATTTTTAATTAACTGAACATAATTTAAAATTACCTTTCCAAAAATATAGCACACTTGATATTTTGTTATAATTTCCTTCGAAATACAGAATTTTTAAAAGTTCGCCACTTTTAACTAGTAGGCTTTGGACCCCTTATTGATGACATGCCCTTAATGGAACTCGAAAATATATTTTTCCAGCAAGACGACGCACCGCCTCTGAACGCTGAAGTTATCAGCAAATTTTTGCAGCCAATTTCAAGAATAATTGAATAGCTAACCAAGATCCCAGCCGTTGGCCGTCGAGGCCGCCTGACTTAGTGCTCATGGATCTAATCCTATGGATATATTTGCGGAAGAATAAAGGTTCCTTATTCTTCCGTATAATCTAGACAAGAATTAGAAATACTTAGCAGTTATGAGAGGGTATCTTTCACCCCCACTGAGTTAATAAGTTCCGCGAGAAATTTTCAAAACTGCCCCATCTGTCCACAACAGAAGACGGCCGATATGTCGAACACCTGTAGCAAAAACTCATGTCTTGGTTTGCTATTTATTTTTATTGTTATTAGATATAGTTTAAATGTGTTGATGTTGGTTAAATATATTTTAAATTGTTATAAAATTCTGCATCTCTCATAGCAAATATCATTTTCGTTTTAATTGATGCTCACAGCTAGACTTTTTTTGCATTACAGCAAAACGGTGCCGTTCAAAGCCTACTTATTTAAAGCGGGCGAATTTTTATATACTCTATATCTCGAAGAGGAATCGAGCAAAATATCAAGTGTTTATATTTTTGGAAAGGTAATTTTAAATTCTTTTCAATAAATTAAAAATATACAGGGTGTCCCATATAAAAAATCAAATTTTCTGTTGATAATTCTTAAATTATTAATTTTAAAAAAAATATACTTAAACCATTAAATTCTACGTAAAAAGGTGCTTTGAAAATGTTTTCATAAAAATACAAAATTTTCCGTAGCAAAAAAGTTACAGCGATTTGTTAAAAATGCATATTTTTGACAAAAATTGAGCTCCAGACACCGATATTAGTTTTTGTCTATCTCCTATAGAAAAGGATGTTTCCATTTAAAAGCGTCGAATTTGACCCACCCTGTACATTGCTTTTCAGAATTAATTCTTGTGCTGAAAGCCAAAAAAAAAATAAACCTTAATAAAAAATTTGATTGCTTCGTCTAATGTATACAGGGATATCAAAAATTGCTGGTCTATTTTAAATATCTATTTTACATAAAAACTTCGTCATTTCAAATACAACACTCCGTATTTTTTAAAATAAATCGCAGCAGATTCAAATGCTCTTTCAAACTATATTAGGGTTTCATATACCTACCTAGCTCAGATTTTGAATAAAGAGCAATTTTTCAACAAAATGGCAACCAAGAGGGCTGGTCTCGTCATGGCAAGTGTCTAGTGACTGTTAGCAGCTATGTTCAAAATCAAAATTAATTTATGGGCTTTATTTAAATATATACCAGTTTACTTTTATTTAAAATTTGCCTACAACAATTTAATAAATAATATTTATTAAATATGTATTTATTATTCTATCAAGAAAAACGAAGAAGTGGTTCATTGAGTTATTTTACAATGATTTGTAGATATATGGATTTTCTATAAAAGGTCAACAACAGGGGTCTCTGCCTAATAGTTTTATTATAAACCACACTACCATCAGCTCTGCGAAATAGGACAAGTAGTTTTTCAAAAAAAAAAAAACACTTATCAGGAAGATTCCTATTTGTATCTATTCGAGCACCCTTGAGGCCAACAAGCAATTTTCTCCACAAAATAAAATTACTAGTAACATATCCATTCGTTCCGCCAGCAGATACTGCTTTATTTTTCTTGATAAAATAATGAATACTTAGTTATTAAACTAATGTAGGTAAATTTAAGTAAACTGTTATAAATCTAAATAATAATGTCCATTTTGAAAATAGTTACTAACTGTCACTAGAAAATGGCCCTGCCGATACCAGCCATCTTGATTGCCATTTTATTGAAAAATGGTTTTTTATTCAAAACCTGAGCGAGATAGGTATAGGAAATCCTAATATAGTTTGAAAAAGCATTTGAATCTGCTTCGATTTATTTAAAAAAATATAGGGTGCATTTGAAATAACGAAGTTTTTATGTAAAATATATACTTAAAATAGATTGTGCAATTTTTTGTACCCCTGTATAAATTTAAGGACGCAATAACATTTTTCACTAAAGTTTATACTCGCAAGAATTATTACCTTTAAACTCACAAGAATTAATTCTGAGAAAAGTAATGTACAGAGTGTTAATAATCTATTCTATTGTAGCATGCTATTTAAATATGTTAAAATATCTCAAAAACCAAAGATTTTAAACATATTATTAAACCTTTTTTTCGGCTCAAGAATCCAAAAATTAAATAAAATACCGGGTGTTCAATAAGTAAAAACATAACTGTGGTATGGGTCTCACTTCTGAAACACCCTGTATAGTTCAAAATAATTTTAAATTGTGTCACATTGCCTCCCCACATATACCCATAAAATATTTTGTTACTACATCTTTCCGTTTTCATATAATCAATTGAGGCGAATGAGGTGCGCCACCCTGTATTAACACTATCAAATTTTTTATCAAATATCTTTTATAAAAGATCTTAGGGAATCGATCTTCGACAAAGAAATTTGATTGAGTGTAATACAGGCTTAACAAAGAAATATTAAAAGTGCGAAAAATAATTTCATTCTTTGGTTGTCGTCAATACTCTACGATATGTACAAAATTTTTAATCATATAATTTCCACCAAAAAATATTTGATTTCACTAATGTATTAATGTATTTCAAATCTGCAGTAAAGTAACAAATATGCGAATTATCTGTTTTATTCGTCATCTAAATAACCCTTCTAGTACATACCGTGTTTCTCAAAAGTGGCTCGCCCCTATAACTTTTTTATTTTTTCAGATAAGTCAAAGAGATTTGATACGTTAGTTAGACATAAATCAGGATTGATTGACATATTCAATTGTTTTCGGTCGCTTCCTGTTTCACCGGAATGTCTATAAATTTTGATTTTTAAACGTTTTCTTGACATTTTCGTTTAAAAAAATCACATTTTAAATTTCAATCTAGAGTGCCATGGCTGTGTTAAAAACACTAATTTTTAATCTAGAACCCTTGGAAAAATATATTTGATCGGCTAATGTCTAATGCTTCTCGTGTCTTGTCCTGGCCGACTAAAATATACCCAAATCGAATCTTTAATCATAAGTTAATTTTGTCAATGGAAAATGGCAAGAGTTGACATATGATATGCCATTTAATTGAGAAGGTTATTTTCTATCAAATGGAGTTAAAAATAAAGAGGGTGTCATTTAAAAATTAAAAGGTGTAGTCATTTCCGGAGAAGCCGGAAGTAACCGAAAACAAATGAATACGTTAATCAATCCTAATATACCAACATACCAAATCTCCATCTACCAACATACCAAATCTCGCCTTTTTATCTGAAAAAAATAAAGAAGTTATAGGAGTGACCCACTTTTAAAAATCACGCGGTATATGACTATAATTCAATTTAACTTTATGTAGAAAATATGGATACTTTTCTTTATGGCGACTTACGTTTATGGTGCCGATGATGATTATAATATATTACATAAGGATGGTTCTTTTCAATTTGGTTATAACAACCCAGATTCTTACCATTACGCTGATGGAAACAGGAATAATGTTGTAAAAGGAGAATTTGGTGGAAGGAACCCTAAAACAGGTAAATTTCATTTGTTCGTCACATACCTAGTTTTAATAAAATACTAAATCATCATCTAACCTAACCAAACAAAACACTTTTACTTTTACATTGGATGCGCGTTGCGCTAACCATGTTACCATCATCAGCAGATGATTAAAACTGACTTAATTTGCTGTGTAACACCAAAGGTTCCAACCCCCAACTGTAATACCTAGTTTTATTGGATTCAGCACAAAATATATCTAAATACAAATAGTTAAAGAGAAATATACGCGTGTTTTTCAACCTAACCCCTATAATTTTTTTATTTCTTTCATGAAAGTGACAAAAATCCATTTATATCTGTACTAACACACCAAATCTCCGTTTTTATCACTTCTTGCTTCAACGGAAAGGACTACAACTTTTGATTTTTAAATGGTGTCGGTATTTTTTATTTTATTTGATTGAAAATGACATTCTGAATAGAAAAACATATCATATGTTAACAAGAACGACATTTTTAATTTAAAAAAGCAGTATTTTAATTTTCAATCTAGAGTGTTAAAACCACTAATTTTTAATCAAGAAGCCTCGGAAAAATAGATTTGATCGTCTAATGATTTTCATGTTTTCCTGGCCGGTAAAAAGATAACCAATTCGAACGGGGGTAGCTCATTAAATAATTTAAAAAAAGCATCTTTTTACGAATAATTTGTTTTCGAAATACTAAGTATGTGGTACACTTAGTATGTCGAGTGACCTGAGGTTATATTTAATGTCGTGACAATATAGATTGAAATTTAAAATAAATTTTTTAAGAGTAAATGTCAAGAGTTGATTTGTGATCTGTCATTCTATCCAAAATATAATTTCCTATGAAATAAACTAAAAAAATACCAAGGGCGCCATTTAAAAATCAAAAAGTTCTAGTAATTTTCGGTGAAACCGCAAGTGAGCGTGTAATTGAAAACGTTAATCAATTCTGATTTATGTCATATTCAAACATACCAAATTTGATTTTCTTATCGGAAAAAGAAGAAAAGTTATAGGGGTGGGCCTAGATACCAAAAAACTATCGAGGAACGCGTAAATATTTATAGGCTCTATTGCATCTCATTTGAGCCAGGGAAGAGCATAGCCATTACACTCACCTACATTTCTTAATTTCTTTCAATTTTATAAACCAATCTCATTTTGGTAAACTGAATATTAAATAACCAACGTAAATACTTTAGTGCTCAATATAATTGAATCGGTCATTTGGGAAAGGGGTCGACTCCAAAATTTTCAAAATCCCGTTTTTATTGGCTTTCGAATGTAACGCTCTAGAAGCATGTTTTGTGTGAAAACGAGCCATCTCTTGATATACTTTATATATATCAAGATGGCGTCTAGTGACCAGTCGCATATTGCTTGTGAATTAAAAAAACTAAATAAACAAGATCTAATTAATTATATAGTGCTTAGAAAGGTTCCCGAAAGTGCCTTATCTTTAAGCGATTTATTTATTTATTTATTTCTAGTCGGTACACAAACAGGAACACGAACAAGTCCCAAAATTAGTGTCCACAGCTTACATATAATAACTAAATACCAATAACAAAAGTAATAACCAATTTTAAAATTATAATACTATTTTTCTTAAAATTACAATTTTTTCTATATATATATATACACAAACTAAGTCAATATCAACACCAATATGTTTAAGATTTAAGCAAAAAATATGGAATGAAAACACTATGAAATAACAAGCAAAGGAATCGCGATAAGGAATACAATAATTATATATTAAAAGTAAACAATTAAATTATAGATATTAAACCATAGAAAAAAGGAATTAACTTATAAATAGAAATTTACTATTCAGGAGTATAATATCTGGATATGGCTATACACTCACAAATTGTCGTTTTAATTTACATTTTAAGGCAAACAAATTATCAGAAAAAAAATCAAAATCCGTGGAGTAGGAATTGGCAAACTCCAGCATTCTGTTAACTGGTGAATTGGCAGCACTATTTGTGTGAGAAAATGTCTTCTTGAAAAGGGAGGTGAATCTTAAATTTTTTGTTGGAACATTAAATGAAATCATAGACAAGAGATAAGGTGAATCGATTTGAGAATTTATTATTTTGTATAATACTGCTATATCAGTAATTATTCTACGATGTTCTAAAGTTAATATATTAAATCGGTTGCACATAGATATATAAGAGTTGTTAATATTATTTTTATATCCCAAATATTTAACAAATCTTTTGTACCTGCTCTAGCCTATTTATATAAATATGGTACATTGGATTCCACACTGAGGATGCAAAGTTCAACTGACCGTATACATACGCATAATATAAAGAGAGCAACGCTTTATTGCTGGTGAATTGTCTAGCCTGCCTGTTTATAAATCCCAGCATTCTAAATGCTTTGGAAACAATAGCCTCAATATGCTCGCCAAAAATCATTTTCTCATCAAAGAATACACCTAGATCTCGTGCTCCTTGTTTTCGAAGTCAATCAATGTCACCTAAGCTATAGTTATACACTATCTTATTGTGATTACGACTGAATGAGATCATGAAACATTTTTCCGGATTTAGAAAAAGATTATTTTTCGAACAGTAATTCTTAAAATTGTCCAATTCAGACTGAAATAAAAGCGCATCATTGATGTTACGAATTTTCATAAAAAATTTTAAGTCGTCCGCATATAACAAATAGTTGGAAAAATGAAAACAGTTTCTTATATCATTAACATAGATAATAAATAATAACGGACCCAGATGACTTCCCTGTGGAACTTCCGATGTAGACTCATACGGGAATGATAAACTCTTAGCCACTGACACCCACTGAGACCAGCCCGATAAATACGACCGAAACCAATCAAGCATGACTCAATCCACACCGACTCCCGCCAATTTTCCTAACAAAATATTATGATCGACCTTGTCAAAAGCCTTGAAGTCAGTGTAAACAGAGTCCACCTGTACACGATCATCCATGCTACTCAATATAAATTGGGCATAGCTGATAAGGTTTATGTCTGTAGACCACCCAGAAAAAAACCATGTTGCTCTGGATTTAAAATATTTTTTACTAAGGAAAAGAAATATTTATAGACAACTTTTTCAAAGATTTTACCAAATATACAAAGTTTAGAAATACCTCTATAATTTTCTACGTTTGTCTTGTCGCCCGATTTAAGGATAGGTATGACCAAGGCATGCTTCCATTTAGCAGGAAAGATGCCTGTAGTAAGCGATTGATTAAACAGCTTAGTAAGAGGAGCACATAGACCTCTAGTGCAGTTTCTAACAAAAATTGATGGAATATCATCACATCCGGGTCCCTTTTTGGGATCGAGTTTCCCGAGAACTTCCGATACTTCGCTTTCATCTATATGCAGACAATTCAAACCCGCTGTTTGACCGAAACCAAAGCCGAACTATTTAAGTGAGGTTGAAATACACTCTGGCAATATTCCGCAAAAAGTTACTAATGCTCTGATTATCACTTGCCCTCTGAGTCTTATATTTCATATCCATCGGAATGGTAGTGCTGCCGCTTTTAGCCGAAACAAAGTACCAGAATTTTTTACAGTTTTTTGGAATCTCTCCTTCAATATAATTTAAGTAATTATTATAATCCTCCAATATAAGTCTTTTAGAGCGGCTTCTGGGCAATTTAAATGTATTAAAATCTTGTAAATTTTTATAAATTTTCCACTTTTTGTGAAACTTATTTTTTTCTTTAATTACGTTTATAGTTGAAGCGCTGAAATAAACGGGATAATTACGATTGCGATAGCCCATTGGTACATAATGGGCTATTAATTCTTTTAAAATGATATTGAATCTTGACAAATTAATTTCTATATTATTACTAGAAAGCATATTATCCCATTGTACCTCTGATAGTGCTCTATTAATATCATTGTAATTAGCTTTATGAAAATTGAAAAATTTGCAACTAGGAAGAAGAATAGCTTTTGTGTGTTCCAATTGAAGGAGAAATTCTACTGCCGGATGATGATGATCCTCAGTAACAAGAGGTGACGAACAGTGTGATAGCATATCAACAGTTTCTGAATTGTTACATAAAATTAGATTCAAAGTTCTACCAGAAACGTTTCTTACGTGGTTGAATTGCATCATACCGCAAAACAAAAATATATCTATTACGTTAGCCGAATTTACATCTATATTAGTAGCAGTTAAATAATTTTCACACTCTTGGGAGACCCAGTTCAATGCGGAACAATTGAAGTCTCCACAAATGATAACTATATTGTCTTTACCTAATCGCTCAGCAATCCAGTTCAGTTTAGAAATAAAACTATTTCTTGTATCGTGACCCCTCTCCTGGGGGCAGGTATACGCAACACAAATACACTCCAACCACTTCTGTCACTTTAAAATATATCCATACATCCTCCACCTCGCTTTGAAACTCCGGTACCAATGTAGCTTGGAGATAAGTTGCAGTTGCAATAAATACACCACCTCCATCTGATTTCTTCGACATGGATGTTTGACGATCTCTACGAAACATGTCGTAATTCCTAAGCGATAATACAATAAAGTTTCTTGAAGACGATTGTGCATTGAAGACCTGTAATGCATTACTTTGCATTACAGCGAAAACGGATTTAAGGGTTGCTAGAGTGGAGGTCGACTCCCAACGAAGGCTCATTATTGAACTGGAAAAGTCCAACGATTAACTAAACACCATTATTTCATTGTTGAAATCACAAATTGAAAGTGAGGTTAACAGAATCGGCGCCAAACCAAAACAGCACACCTTCCAAAATTCAGTGGTACCGCAACCAGCAAGTCAGGCTCCGCTGGGAAGGAGAAGCGAAGCCCTGCAAACAGTTCCCACCACGCGTCAGTCAGCAGCAAAATAAACCGAGGATCAACAGTCAACAAAATCCTGCTGGTGTAGATGAATTGCAGGCACAAGATAAAATGGAGAGATTGCCACACGTATATGCTAAAACGAAAAACAATCTTCCAAACGAAACTTGTAACACTCTATCATAAGGCGATAATGAAAATAATAAGAAATGGTCACAGGTTAATAGAAAACGCCAAAATAAAACTGTAATAGGAACTGGTGTAAGCTGCAAACTTAAGGCTGCTCCAGCACTTACCTATTATCACGTATTCAGATTGGAACCATCCTGTACTGAACATGATTTAAAAGCATATTTGCAACCATTGTTTCCCGAGGTAACATGCCAAAAGTTAGAGTCCCGAAATTCAAATGAATACTCATCATTTAAAGTAGGAGTTTCCAAGGCAACTCTGCTGGTATATTAAATCCTTCTCTATGGTCAGAGGGAACCAAAATAAATAAGTTTTTTCACGTCAAGACGAATCGTCTAGAGAAGCCCTAAACCTAAACTTTAATGACGTAGATATCGAAAATTGTGTGAAGATATTCCATATACCGCAATTTGGGCGATAAATTTAATTACAACATCGGAAACTTTTAGCGCTTTTAGGGGCCATAATCGAATCAAAATCATAAGAAACATTTAACGGGTGGCCTCTGGACGGGTGGCCTCCGCCACTGGACGTTCCAACCAACAAAAGATATGTTCGATAGGTTTAATTCTAAAATGTATTTGTCAGATTCCGATAATTCAGATGCAAATGCTGAAGAGAGTCGAGGTCGAGGATGTAATAAACCTATGTAACGAGATGTGTTAATAAAAAATATAATGTTTGGCAATTCGTAGTGTTATTGATTTCATTTACCCATTATGGTATTACTTATTTCTAATAAAAAACAAAAACAAAGTTACTTTTTTAAGTTTCGCGCCAGTTCTCAAGGAAAGGTAATGTTGGTTGCGGTTTTGGGCGATTTTTTGACTTGACATTTGCGCCAACAGATTTTAAAATCTGACAACACTGGTTGGAACCTTTGAAATCACTAATTCTCGGCAATAAACCAAAACACTTTACCACTGGACTGCACTGGACACGCGTTCATCAGCAGATGATTAGAACTAAACTCAATTTTTATTCATGTGTTGATGATGCTAACGTGGTTACCAAACGCGCGTCCAGTGCAAAAGTAAAAGTGTTTTGATGTATTGTGGCGAATTAGTGTTTTATTTTGTTGGCTCAATATTACTACGATCGGGATTAGAAGTAATGTGTTCTCTAGCTGTAAGGTTATTTTATCATATCCTTTCTTATAAGGTGGAATAGATACAACCGTTTATACTGCCGGTCCGAGAGGTTTTCGACCACGTGGTAAAAATGTTTATCGCAATTACGACTTGAATCAAAATGGACCACGTCCTGTTGGTTCACGAGATGATCCATACTATGACCCATATGAAGATCCTAGTTATAAATTTGGGTTTCGTACGAGAACGTACAGCAGACAAGAGAATGCCAATAGAGTTGGAGATGTAACAGGAAGGTAATAATAATAGTATATAGAAAGTAAATTTAAAGAAGCCTTTTTCATAACAAACAAGAAACACATATTTAGTAATCCTAGTATGTAAATCTCCACTAATAAATAGCACCAATCAATGCGGACACTCTCAGTGTAAAGTTCACGGTTCACTGCACACGAATTTTAGAGCTTATGACATTTTTTATAAACGACAACCTAAAAACGCTATAATCTGTTTTGTTTTTAATTAACGTTCTATCTTCAAAAATAAAAGTTATAAGCATTTAAATCGTGACAAAATGGGAAAATTTTATGGTACAGGGTGTCCCATTTTCGTATGTTTTATGGGATTTCTCGTTTATGAGTAGAGATACAAATATGTAGTTTTCACATCATTAAGTTGAATGAAACTTTTTATGAAACTAGATATGCTACACACCGATTTGTCCTAGGCTCTTTGGTTTCTGAAATACAGGGCGAATTTGAAAATGTTGCATATTTCGGCAGAGTATGCAGAGTCCCGCAGAGTATTTTAAGTAGAAACTTATGTTTCTTTTAAATGGGACACCTTGTATATTATTTTACTTGCCTTGTCATGACCTTTCTAAAAATATAATATATTCTATAGTCATTTTCATAAACAAGGTAAAAAATGCATTTTTTAAAGTTTTAACATAAAGAAACCTATATGTAGTTTCAAAGGATATTATCATTATTATTTAATTTAATTTAATCTGATAATTTAGCTATCAATCGTGTTATCTTAATAAAGTCCACTGAAAATAAACTTGTGCGGCTTTACATAACACGCTGCCAATCAGAGTTATTGATACTTTTAAAGCATTTGTGCGTAATTGCTTTTTTCAATTTTGATCACAGAAACTAGCGTGGAATAGCCAGTAACCAAAATTTGACGTCGAATAAATTATTCGATTATTTTGAATACCTATTTTAAAGCGGTCGCCTATGTTAAAATGTTAAATAATGCATTTTTTACTTTGTTTATGAAAATAAGTCTAGAGCTTGTTATATTTTTAGAAAGCTCATAACAAAGCTCATATTTCAAGAATGACAGCTCGCAGCAAAAATCTAAAAATCTAGTTGCGCCACTGAATTCTACGTAAAAATACGGAGCTCAGTTTTTACCTTTTCGTTACGCTATAAGATATTCAGGAACAAATAAAGCTAGGACAAATCTGTGTAGCCTCTTTAGTTTCATAAAAAAGTAGCAAGTGAAGTGAAAACTTCACGTTGTAGCTTTACTGATAAACGTAAAATCCTGCAAAAAAACACGAAAATGGGACACCCTTTACAGTATACTATTTTGATATTTTGTTTTTACGGTTACAAGTGATAAAACTGAAAACAATTTCATAAACATTTGACCATTTCAAATTAAAAATTATTATAATAAACTCTATTTTAATTAGATATACCTACCTTGATGATGTAGGAGAACGTCATAATGTGGAATATATAGCTGGGAAAAACACTGGGTTTCATGTAAAAAACCCATTTCCAGATAGTAATCCACGAGCGTATGGTCCACTATTCTTCAGAGGAAGGGGAAAACCTATACCAAGAGGTAGAACATCCATTCAAAGAGGCTTGGATGGAAGTTATAAGTAAGATTATATTGCAAAAATTAAAAAGAACTTGCTTTTCTTCCAATTATGTTTAATATCCTTTAATATTAGACTAAAATGCATATTCTATTCAATACTCCAAACGGTTGATTTTTTGGTATCAATTCTCGTATATTCTATTTTTCTATATTTTCAAATTCACTTAACCAATTTCCTTACAGTAATTATTAAAGAGAAAAGAACTTAAAAAGAAAATAAATGTTGCTTTTTATTACGGCATAGCTTGGCTTATCATGTACAGGGTGGGTCAAATTCGACGCTTTTAAATGGAAACACCCTTTTCTATAGGAGATAGACGAAAACTAATATCGGTGTCTGGAGCTCAATTTTCATCAAAAACATGATGGTGAAAACCGCACATCAATATCTTTTACCGTTTCGGAGTTACGAGGTGTTTATCAAAAATGTGCATTTTTAACAAATCGCTGTAACTTTTACTATGGAAAATTTTGTATTTTTATGAAAACATTTCCAAAGCACCTTTTTACGTAGAATTTAATGGTTTAAGTATAATTTTTTTTAAAATTAATAATTTAAGAGTTATCAACAGAAAAATTGATTTTTTATTTGGGACACCCTCTATATTTTTAATTAACTGAAAAGAATTTAAAATTACCTTTCCAAAAATATAGCACACCTGATATTTTGTTATAATCCCCTTCGAAATACAGAATTTTTAAAAGTTCGCCACTTTAAACTAGTAGGCTTTGTACCACTTATTGATGATATGCCCTTAATGGAACTCGAAAACATATTTTTCCAGCAAGACGACGCACCGCCTCTGAACGCTGAAGTTATCAGCAAATTTTGCAGCCAATTTCAAGAATAATTGAATAACTAACCAAGATCCAGCCGTTGGCCGTCGAGGCCGCCTGACTTAGTGCCCATGGATCTAATCCTATGGATATATTTGCGGAAGAATAAAGGTTCCTTATTCTTCCGTATAATCTAGACAAGAATTAGAAATACTTAGCAGTTATGAGAGGGTATTTTCACCCCCACTGAATTAATGAATTCCGCGAGAAATGTTCAAAAACTGCCCCGTCTGTCCATAACATAAGACGGTCGATATGTCGAACACCTGTAGCAAAATCTCATGTCTTGGTTTGTTATTTATTTTTATTGTTATTAGATACAGTTTAAATGTGTTGATGGTGGTTAAATATATTTTAAATTGTTATAAAATTCTGCATCTCTCATAACAAATATTATTTTTGTTTTAATTGATGCTCACAGCTTGAATTTTTTTTATATTATAGCCGGTCAAAGCCTACTCATTTAAAGCGGGCAAATTTTTATATACTCTATATCTCGAAGAGGAATCGAGCAAAATATCAAGTGTGTTATATTTTTGGAAAGCTAATTTTAAATTCTTTTCAATAAACTAAAAATATACAGGGTGTCCCATATAAAAAATCAAGTTTTCTGTTGATAATTCTTAAATTATTAATTTTAAAAAAATTCTATTTAAACCATTAAATTCTACGTAAAAAGGTGCTTCGGAAATGTTTTCATAAAAATACAAAATTTTCCATAGCAAAAAAGTTACAGCGATTTATTAGAAATGCATATTTTTGAAAAACACCCCGTAGCTCCGAAACGGTAACAGATATCGATATGCGGTTTTCACCAACAGGTTTTTGACAAAAATTGAGCTCCAGACACCGATATTAGTTTTTGTCTATCTGCTATAGAAAAGGGTGTCTCCATTTAAAAGCGTCGAATTTGACCCACCCTGTACAGAGTGTGAGATTGTAAAATTTATTCACATGAGTCCCCAAAAAATTAAAATAAAATCGCAAATATTCTGCTTTTTCCAAAAGTCATCGGAAGTATTTGGAATTTTTAAATATTTAATGTAGCATTTGGATCATCATCAAATTATGCAAGTTTGCCTTAATTTAACCAACCACGTGGCTCTTCTAGTTTCCGAGATTCCAATGGTGAGGCTCGAATTTGGTACACCCTGTCCCCTGTACAAGAATTAATTCTAAAAAGTAATGTACAGGGTGTTAATAATCTATTCTACTGTAGCATGCAAATTTAAATATCTTTAAATATATCAAAAACCAAAAATTTTAAACATATTTAACCCTTATAATAAATGCCTTTTTTTGGGCCCAAGAATCCAAAAATGAAATATAATACAGGGTGTTCCATAAGAAAAAATATAACTTTGGTACGGATCTCAGTTCTGAAACACCCGGTATACTACAAAATAATTTTAAATTGTGCACATTGCCTCCCCACATATACCCATAAAATATTTTGTTTCTACATCTTTCCGTTCTCGTATAATCAACCGAGGCGAATGAGGTGCGCCACCCGGTATAATTCTGTTATTTTGTTTTAGTCGCAAAAGACGCTTCATGCAAAAAAACGCAAAAATCGCTTTCTGTGTGGCCGTGGGCTAAGACAGTATTATTAAAAACAAAAAAAAACAGGAAAAGTTATTATTTACATTTATCTGATAAATTGCTTCTTTTCACATAATTGAAGTTAAAAAAACTATTTCGAGTTTGATAAATAAATCTGTACATATTTCAGGTTTGTATCTGCCGGTCCCGACCAACGACGAACTGAAGTTAGTGATTCCACTGGGCATATCAGGGGTTCTTATACATATCTAGACGACAAAGGAGTGCAGCATTCTGTGCATTATATAGCAGGACCCGAAACAGGCTACAGAGTTCTGAAAACCGTAAAAGGTCCACATCTTCCTACAGTTTATCCATTCGATAGACCCGATATTATATCACCCGATTTTTATGACTATTTGTCTGATAATGGAGAAGTTTTTGATACGGCTGCTAGTGGAAGACCAGTAAAACCCGGAAGTAAGCATAAACAAAAATTAATTGATGTCTCGGCACACTCAGTGATGAGGTGTTCGAATGTTTCTCCATTTGTCCCACAGAATCTGCATTCGCCGTTGTTTCTTAGCTTCGTTGGGGAGACAGTGACCTGTTAAAGAACTGTGGCAATCCGAAGTGTTCTCACCTAAATCAAGGAAAATATTGGATTTTTCTCGGTCGTTCTTAGAAATTTCTTCGAGTGTCTTAGACTGTTGGAAGATTCCCATTCCAGGTTACGGATGGAGACCCCCAGGTTCTTGAGTTCCGCTTTAGGTTGGTTTCTACTTGGGAAGCAAAACGGTTCTGGTTCATTTTGTGGAGTGTTCGCTCCTTTTCTAACTAGATAGTTTGCTTCTTATTGCCTTCTATACCTTGAAGAGGTATCCCAGAGTAGGAGAACTTTATTATCTTTCTCTTCAAAAAGTCCTACTTATGGGTATTTCGCCACTATAAGAAAATCTACAAAATAAAATAGATATTTTTTTTGTAAACACTGCTGCGTTAATGCAACGGCGTCTAATTGTCAGCAGTGGCTTACTAATAAACAAATTTGCCTAACGGACAAAAAAATACTTAATGTTTCGGAAGGTATACAGGGTGACCCATGCTGAGCGTACATTAGAAGTTTCTAGAGAACTACAGCATCTAGCTCGGAGATTTTTTGCTCATCATCGTTTCACAACAAGATCTATCGATTAAAAATATTTTCAATATGGCGGCACATCTGGAAATACCGGAAGTTGACAGCAACTGTCTTATTTTAAATGGGTGCCCCAATTTTTTATTGTGTACTTAAATTCTCTGTAAAATTTTATGAATTTTGATAATAAAAATTCTATATCTCCCATTGACCGTTTTTGAGAAAAAAAAATATTTAACATTTTTGAACGAAAAAAACTGTCTGTCAAAAATATGTGTATAGCCTAAACGTCAAATTTAGTGATTACCACAGCCACTGTGCCATAAAGAGAAAGCATGTGGCTATCTATTTCAAAAATTACATTGTTCGAATGTCATATACTAATGGCCGCAGCTGTTATAGAATTGAGCGATTAAAAAATTATCATAAATCAATTTTTTCAAATGGAAACCCAATTTTTTTCCTTCGCTAGTGAAAAGGCTTTTCAATTCGTTACTTTTTAACTATACATGTTCCTATACCTAAAATAAATCGTCTTACAGTTATTTAAGATTTAGTTTAAAAGCGTATATTTTTCTTGATTTTAACCAGTAACCTATGACTTTAAATGTCAAATGATAGTATTCTATACAGGGTTGTTCACCACATACGACACGGAGTATTGTAGCTAAACGATGAGATTTTTACAAATTGTAAGTTTGGGGCTCGTTGAAGGACTATTAGAGCTACAATTTAAAAATATTTTTACAAGATACAGAGTGTCCCAAATAAATAAAAAATATCAAAGTAGTATTTTTTTAAATGGAACACCTTGTATATTATTATATTTTTAGTTTCTACGATTAAAATAAAGGTAAATTTGATTAAGGTTTATTATACTTAAACCTTACCGTTTTTGAAATATTTTCAATTTTGTGAAATTGCAGTAAAAATTTTAAAGCTTCATTTCTCCAAGGGTATCAATGTTTTTAATACTAAATATTTAATGAAGTTTATTTATTGATCAGTTATTGTGTTGCAATAATAAAAATAATACTACCTTATACAGAGTGTCTAAAAAATTTATTTTAAATAATTATTAGCTTAAACGGCAATAACTTCTTTAATTTAAATGGAATGCCCTGTATATTTTAGGAGAATCAGATGCACAATTAAATTGTCTATCAAATTGTATTATACCATTTTTTACCTATCCCTTCAAGTTTTCGTATAAAATGCATTTTCTTATAATTTAGACCTCATTTATCAATATATCAATGGAATATTGACATTTTAGATTGTTTTTAAAGCAACAAATGTACAAAATGTACAGACTAGTAATATTATCGTTTTTAGCAAAACGATAATATTACTAGCCCATTTGTATGCAAAAAGAAAACTATTTAAATCTTTATAAAAGAGTATACCATTAATTAAATATAACACCATTATTTGCGCCCATATACTAATTAATTACATACTTAATTGTGTTCGTTATTAAATTATTATAAATAAATGTGGATTTGAGTCAGAAATCAATATAATAATAAGTTATCAAATTAAAGTCTCTGTAGTTATAAATAAGCATTTATTAAAAAATGAAATATCATTTTTAAGGTGTTACTTTTTATCACACTGTCTAATGCCCATACAAAATTCAGTTTTTTAGTATTTGGAGCAATTATTATTAATCAAAGCAAACAGTCAGTTAATGTTGTTTGAATACTGGAATCATATTAACTGATCCTCTTTAACAAATATTTAAACAGTTTTTTTTTATTTTTTAATGAAATAAACGAATTATATCGACAATATTAGTATCTGTCATGTATCTGTACTCTTTAAAAATTTGGTACATCTTTAAAAATAATCTAAAATGTCAATAGTCCATGGGTATATTGATAAATAAGTTCTAAATTACAAGAAAATGCATTTTCTACGGAAACTTAAAGAGATAGGTAAAAATGGTATAATATAATTTGATAGACAATTAAATTGTGCATCTGATTCTCGTAAAATATACAGGGTGTTCCATTTAAATTAAACAAGTTATTGCCGTTTGAAGCTAATAATTATTTAAAATAAATTTTTAGACACTCTGTATAAGGTAGTATTATTTTTATTATTGCAACACAGTAACTGATCAGTAAATAAACTTTAGTAAATATTTAGTATTACAAACTTTGATACCCTTGGAGAAATGAAGCCTTAAAATTTTTACTGCAATTTCACAAAATTGAAAATATTTCAAAAACGGTAAGGTTTAAGTATAATAAATCTTAATCAAATTTACCTTTATTTTAATCGTAGAAACTAAAAATGTAATAATATACAGGGTGTTCCATTTAAAAAAATACAACTTTGATAATTTTTACTTATTTGGGACACTCTGTATCTTGTAAAATTATTTTTAAATTGTACCTCTAATAGTCCTTCATCGAACTCAAAACTTACAATTTGTAAAAATCTCATCGTTTAGCTACAATACTCCGTGTCGTATGTGGTGAACAACCCTGTATAATAAGATATAATAGATAGAACAATAGATCTGGCCATGTCATATTGTGACGCTTTATTCAAGAAGCACCATCATTTTCGAGCCAACTTTGCGGTGTTTTTTCTTTCTATCATACGGAATATTAATAATATCAACTATTAGATATCGCTAAGAGCGAAAATACGAGATATATTTTTATAAATACACTTTTTAAATTCTTAAACAGACTGTATTTATTTATACTATAGGAAATTCAAATAAGTTGTTTTCTGGCAAATGGAAATAAATTGTCTGACCGTTTGACACTTAATGTCAAAGGAAGCTAGATAAAATCAAGAAAAATATACGTTTTGAAACTAAATCTTAAATAACTTAAAAACGGTTTATTTTGGGTATAGGAACATACCTAGTTAAAAAGTAACGAATTGACAAACCGTTGCATTAGTGAAATAAAAAAGTGGGTTTCCATTTGAAAAAAATGATTTATGATAATTTTTTAATCACTCAATTCCATGACAGCTAGCGCCATTATTATATGATATTTGAACTATTTAATTTTTAAAATAGATAGCCACATGTCTTCTCTTTATGTCACAGTGGCTGTGGTAATCACTAAGTTTGACTTTTAGGCTATACAAATTTTTATGACAGGTAGTTTTTTTCGTCCAAAAATTTTAAATATTTTTTTCTCAAAAACGGTTAATGTTAGATATAGAGTGTGTAATATCAAAATTCACAAAATTTTACAGAGAATTTAAGTACACAATAAAAAATTGGGGCCATTTAAAATAAGACGGTTGCTGTCAACTTCCGGTATTTCCGGAAGTGCCGCCATATTGAAAATATTTTTAATCGATAGATCTTGTTGTGAAACTATGATGTGTAAAAAATTTCCGAGCTAGATGTTGTAGTTCTCTAGAAACTTCTAATGCACGCTCAGCCTGGGACACCCTGTATATCTTTCCGTCGTCAAAGCAAAAAAATACAAAGAACAAAGAAAAAAACTATTTAAAATATGTAATTGCAACTATTCGAGAACACTTTAATTTTTTTAAAACTGATACGTCTACAAAAACCGTTGACGTTCTGGTAAAATGTCATTTTATCAAGTTAAACTTCAAATTTAACAAATACTACCTGATAACAATTGCTTAATAAGGTAAAACCAAAAAAGCTTCAAACTTTCTGTATGATTATTTTCAATTTGTTTTAAATGTTTACGTATGTTATGTTTATTTATGTTATGTTCTTTAAAATTAAAGAATGGATTACCGACAGCAGTGTTTACAAAAAATAACTATTTTATTTTGTAGATTTTCTTAGTGGCGAAATACCCATAAACAGGGCTTTTTTGGAGAGATGAATCCGCAACAGAGGTATAGATATTTTTAATTATCTTTGCCTAATTTGTTCAGCTTCTCTAGGCATTCTTTGACCAACTTCGAATTGATGGTTACTGAGTTGATCGCTTTGAATGCTGCTTGATTATCGGATAAGATGGTTGTTTCTTGTTTCCAATAGTTCCTATCTAAGATAAGTTGCACGCATCTTTCGATAGCGTAGGTTTCTACCTGAATTATGCTAGGATAGATGCCCATTGGTTCGGAGTATTTAGTTTTCGGCCCAAATATCCTACCCTTATTCCTGCGTTGCTTTTGGAAGCATCAGTATACCATGTTATGGTATGATCTTTGACCTGCCGAGCAAACGTTTGTATCTTCCAATACTTTTTATTGCTTAAAATTACAGTGAGATGTTTTAAGCGAGTTGTATAGGGTGTCCAATTTTGGTTGAAATCACACGGTGTCTCCGTTATTAGTAGGAGGAAGCGGTTTGTACAAACCCGTCCCACTTGTTTGTCAAACG